TACAGACTTGGAAACTGAGGTCCAAAGAGAGAAAGGGATTTTGCTCAAGTTTTTGAGCTGACTGCTAGAAGAACTAACACTAATCTTCAAGTATCCTGACTGAGGCAGTGTTCTGCTATATCAAACAGCCTCTCCACCTTTTCCCCAAAGATTTATTCATGCATTTGAAAGCCACAGAGCAAGAAGACAGATCTTATACCCATTGGCTCACCCATCAGATGGTCACAATGACCAAGGTTGGGCCAACCTAAAGGCAGAAGCCAAGAGCTTCATCTGAGTCTCCTTGTAGGTAGCAGGGACCCAATCACTGGGGTCAGCTTCAACTGCTTAAGTGAAAAACTCTATGCTAAGTTAGCATCCAGCATGGTATCTGAAAGGACAGACTATCATAATGATGTTAATTATTATCAATATTTGTGAGGATTTACGTGATGTTTATCAATGAATTCTGCAAATAAGAACACAAAAATAAATTCCAATGACAGCTACAAGGCATCCTTCCTTCTGCCTGGCACGACTCACAGATCCCTCTCCTGGAAGGCCACACGTGGGCCTCACTGTTCCACAAACCTGGGGATCCTATGCTAGCCCAGCACGTCCTTATCCTCTCCCCACAAGACACACCATGGGTGAGTAGACCTGGCAGGTGTCTGGGAAGGGAGGAAAGAAGAAGTGGGATGAAGGGAGTCAGCACTCCTGGTTCAGGTTGGGCAAACTGATCTGGAACAGGGAGCATTAGGGCTGAAGCAGCTGACTAGAGGGTTCCTGAGCATCGTGTGTGTGTGTGTGTGTGTGTGTGTGTGTGTGTGTGTGTGTGTGTGTGTGTGTGTGACAGAAAGAGGGAGAGAGAGCAAGCGAGCGAGCAGGGACAGCGAGGCAGTCCAGAGAAGTGGAAGGGCATTGCAGAAATAGCAGTGTTCCCGACAAGGAAGATGACTGTGGACACTCTGGTCAGGGCTTTTGGATTCCCACCACATTTTTTCATGCTGGGTGTGGTCAACCACAGGCCCATGTGTTGACTGTGGCCAAAGAGGCTCTTATCCCTTCCAGTAAGAGTGTGGGATCTGGGAACAAGGGTTATGAGACTTCACAGGACTCATATTTTTTCTCGGTGAGTTTCCATTTCCTGGTTCCTTGGCAGACAGGGGTGTGGGGGGTGTTCTGGACCTTGTGGACTTGGCATGGGTGTGTATGTGTGTGTGTGTGTGTGTGTGTGAAAACCCTGGGGGAAGAGATGCTTGTTTTTCAGGGAGTGCTTGGTGGTGCAGCTTAGGGGCAAACACAAGGTCGCTGCCAAATTTGCACCCATTCCCCACCCTGACAGCCGGGGCCACAGGGTGTGGCAGAGCAGGCGAGGATAGGAGGGCTGCTCCACAAATCCAGAGGGGTCACGGAAAACTGACCTCCAGTCTCCAGCCACTGGGACAAAATATCTGACGCTGAGAGGGTGGAGAACAGAAGCATTTGTTCTTCAATACTCCTCTTCCCTCTCGGCAGCCTGGAGGTCTCCTGTTCAGAGGAGGATGGCGTTGGAGGAGCCCCAGCCATGACTCACTCAGAGCTAATCCTCGGCGAATCTGTCACCATGGAAACTGCCAATCATTCATGCTTTTCATAGCTTCACCGAACAGCTGCCCAGGGAGAGCAAGCTGCGTGCCGCATTTATACTGCCTACCATGCTGACGCTGGGCCCGTAAACAGAGCAGCCCTCGCAGCAGGACCATACCCTGGCCTTGCCCACTCCTGGGCTGTGTGCTTCTAATGAAGCTCTTCCTAAGTTTTTCTGTGCCCCTTTCCCTCCCAGAGGGTAAAATCAGTGATTCTGAGCGTTAGGAGGACAGAGCGAGAGTGGGAGGGACAGGAAGCTACATACCGGAAGAGGGGTGGTAACGGCAATGTACTTGTCAGCCTGTTCCCTACTATGGTTTTGTGCTTGGAAGACTGCAGAATAAAACTTTCATAGCCAAAACCCCAGAAAACAAGCTTCAATTCCTATTCTCAGGCAGTAGAGCTATGAAGAGCATGGATGACGGCTGCCTTTCCTCTCCCACCCATCATGTCTGGCATCCAGGAGGTTTTTCAACATGATTGCCAGAAAGAAATATAGATTTTACAAAAATGAAAAAGTTGAGAGTTTCTGGGTTAACTGATCTCCGAAGTGAATCCAACCCAATCTCTGGGTTACAGAGGGCTTGTTCAAGCCCCAGGCACCAGCAACCACCTGCCTGGAGGAAAAGGCTGGCTTTCCCCATGCGCACCAGGCATGCCCTTGTTTAGCTATCTGACCACGAACATGAGCCCTGGGGGTGAAGAGGGGGAAGCTGGAGAGGGAACATCAGGGCATGGGTGTACTGACACTACCTCCTGGGGTCCCTGAGGACTCCTGGGAATAACTCCTACTGGATTGTGCTCAGCCAAAGAGGCATACAGCCCCTGCCAGGGTAGACCTGTTGGCCTGGCATCCAGGCACAGTTCTTCATTGGGGGGAGTCTCACTGTCAGGCCATGGGGATGCTCAGCCAGGTGGCCCCGTGACCAGGTGCTCCACATGTGCATGGGGAGACAGGAGCTAGGGAAAGAGACAGGAGGTGTGGGGGGTCAAAGAGAGGGCTCTGAAATCTTTTCTGATACTCTCTTTTTATTCCCTGTTTCCCTTGTCTTTGCTGCCCAGTGAAGAGGAGTCTGACCTAGATCGAATTGCCTTAAGGGAGATACATGACTGCAGGGAAGCGGGATTTGTCTGAACGCTGTTTTGCATCTGTTTCTCAACAGCCTAGGTCCTTAGGAGATTTGAGAGTTGTGCAGGAAGTGGAAAAGCAGCAGCAGATGGCTAGGGACTGTGTGTGTTGGGGAAGGCAGGGGACAAAGAACAGACATGACCATGGAGTCTGCAGGTTCCCACGCAAACAAAGCTACAGGAGCCCTTGTTCAAAATGTGTTAGGAATTTTAGCCACAGCAAAGCAGTAGCCAAGTGTGAGGCCTCTGTCTGCATGAGCCCAGCACGCATGCATCAGGTCAGGCACCCATGCGGCTGGCTCCAGACAGGAATTCCATAGAACAGCCTGGCCCGGCCCCAGCTGAGGAGGGGATCAGTGGGTGAAAGACTTTCTTGCTTTCTTCCTGCAACTAGAATGAAGTAAAATAAAAATAGATAATTTCTTTTAAAACACAAGAACTCAAAATATCCACTGAATTTGAAATGTAGAAATCACTGATGACCTTGGCAGGAGCCCTGTCGTTGGCAGACTGGCTTGGAATTCTGGGAGAGAGGAGGGGAGGAGATGAGAAGGAGAGCGGGGAGGAGGGAAGCAGATGCAAGGAGCCTCCTGGTTGGTGGCAGAGACGTAGGGGAAGCGTGCTGCTAGAGGAGAAGTGTGGTGGAGGAAAGATGACTCAAGGTGGGCAGAGTTAACTTATTTCATGTGAACGGCTTCCCCGAGGTGTGACTGACACACAACCAGCTGTGTGTGTCTCAGGGGAACAACGTGAAGAAGTCCGACACAAAAACACACCACGAAACCATCACCATATGTCAGCAATGCATGTTTCACTCCTCAAAAGGTTCCGTCTTCTGGGTAGTTTCCCTTCTGCACCCTTCAACCTGGGCAGCCGTTGCTCCATTTTCTAATGACACACTCTGTATTTTCTATAACTTTATCTAAAAGAAATTTCATATAGCCTCCTTTAAAAAAAAAAAAGGTACTCTTCTAACATCTAACTTCTTCTTTCACCCAACACAATTATATTGAGCTTCCTCTATACCTGAATGTATTAATAGCTTATTCCTTTTATCGCTGAGTAGTTTGCGGCTACAAGGCTGTCTCGTTTATCTGCTCACCTATTGAAGAGCATCAGTGCTATTTCCACTCTGAGACTGGTACAAACTAAGCTGCACTTCTGCACGTCCTTATATGGGCACAGACTCTCAGTTCTCTGCAGTAGATAACCAGGAGTGGAGGGGCTGGACCTCAGTGTCTTTTTAAAGAAACTGTCAAATGGCCTGCAGAGTGGCTGCACCACTTAACATTCCCACCGGCCGCAGATGAGAGGCCCAGCTTTTCCCGCTCGTGGTCAACACGGGTGTGGATAACCTATTTCATCTCAACACATTCCAGGAGCTTTGCCTGCCTTTGCTATCCCTGTCCTGTTTGGGAAAAGAATGATGAGCTAGGACATGGCATGGCGGGGCAAGGCAGAGGGAGACACTCCAGGCCGGCAGCGTTGCTGGGATCAAGAGCAAATCCTCCTGTGACTCTGTGCCAGGAAGACAAGCCCAGTCCCTAGTGAATGGCACTTTCCAGGAATCATTTGTCAACATGCCAGCTTACTGCCCTCCAAGCTGGGAACCCAAGCATGTAGCAAGCTCCGTAGGGGCTGCAGCTCTACAAGGCCCCTCCACGGCCATCATAGTGCAGGAAAGCAGAAGGTAGGCATCGATTTATTCACTGTCCTATTAGGTCCAAATCAGTGTAGCAAGAAAATCACACTTATCTTGCTTCTTAGGAGAATACCTATCATTGGTAGGGAAAGGGCAGGTGGCATTCTAGCCCAAGTATGCACTTGCTCAAAATGTGATATGGCTCTGTCTGCTGGGGAAGCCACACAGGTAGCTTTTGTTAGTAACAGTGAAGCCCACTATGGGGCCAGCACTGTGGCGTAGTGCGTTAAGCCATCCACTTACAATGGGAGCATCCCACGTCGGACTGCCCATTCAAGTCCCAACTCTTCTGCTTCCAATCCAGATCCCACCCTGCCACCCATGTGGGAGACCAGAATGGAGTTCCTGAAATCATGGCCATTCAGGGAATAAATCAGCAGGTGGAAGATCAATCAGTCTCATTTTCTTTCATATTTTCTCTGTCAATTTGTCTTTCAAATAACAAAAATCTTTAAATAAAGTCAGACACACATCCTAGCAGCACAAACAGGCCACTGGGAAATAATCATTTATATTCCTTATCCCCTAACAGGAGGGTGAAGAAGGACCCGGACTATAGTACCTGTGGCAGCTGGGAAGAACACCCCGAAGACGGTGAAGAAGGACTCCCCCGGGGTGTAATCCGGCAGAGTGTTGTTCCGTAGCAGCTCCGGGGAATAGCCAATAAAACCATGCTCTGAAATGACACAGAGAGCAAAATGAGCTGAGAGGCAGGACACTACTTCATACGACTTCAAGTATTCAACAGTAAGGGTGTGTGTGACAGACGGAGAATGCGCAGTTTGGCCCGAACATCCTCCTCCTCATTTCTAGGCCTGACTCTGGTTGACATAGCAGAAAAATGACTAGCAGTGAAAAGGAGTTACCTCTGGACACATGTTCACTTTTTGCTTCCGTAGACGCCACCTGAGTTGAAATGTTATTCAATGAATAGGCATTAGTGTGTTTATTTTTCATCGAATGCAATACAAATTGGGGCTGGTGCCATGGTGTAGTAAGTTAAGCCTCAGCCTGTGGTGCTAGCATCATTTATGGGTACCAGTTTGAGTACCAGCTGCTCCTCTTCCGATCCTGCTCTCTGCTAATGCACCTGGGAAAGCAGTGGAAGAAAACCCAAGTGTTTGGGCCCCTGTATCCACGTGGGAGATCTAAAGGAAGCTCCAGGCTCCTGGCTTTGGACTGGCCCAGCTTCACCTGGGACAGCCAGGTGAGGCATGAAACAGTGACTGGAAGATCTTCCTCTCTCTCTCTCTCTCTCTTTCTCCAAATCTGCCTTTCAAATAAAAATAATTCAATCTCAAAAAAAAAAAAAAAAAAGGCAGGGCCCAGCACATTGGCTGAATTGGCTAATTTACCACTTGCAAGTGCTAGCATCCCATATGGGCACTGGTTCAGCCTGGGAAAGCTGGAAGACTTGGGACTTGGGACTCTGCATCCGGGAAGTAAACCAGTAGATGGGAGATCTTTCCCTCTGTCTCTCCTCCTCTCTATAAATCTGCCTTTCTGATAAAAGTAAATAAACCTTTAAAACATTTTAAAATAAAATAAAATTTAAGAAGAAAGCAATATTAATTGATATTAGCAAGTTACTTCTCTACTCAAAACCTCCCATGAGTCCCTTCCAGCCACAGAACAAAGCACAGACTCTGTAGGATGAGTTTCAAGGCCATGCACACCTGGCCCAGCCCATCATTTCTTCTTTATCCCCTGGCCTTTTACCAGCGCCCAGTCTCTTTTCCTAGATCACCACTCACACCACCCCTGATGCAGGGGTCGGGATGCTCCACATCTCTAACTATCCCTGAGATGTTCATCCCTCAGGCCCAGCTCACATGTCATGTCGCTCCGTTAGGGACTTTACCTAGTTAGACTCTCCATGGGCTCTCCTGGCCCATGACCAGCCACCCTGAGTCTTTCCTTAGCTACCCCTGCTGGAGGCAGGAAGTCCAATTTCCCGCATCTTTGTCTCCCAGATCCAGGCACTGTCCCACAAAGTAGGTTGCACTTCTCACATTCAGGAGTCTTTTTTTTTTTAGATTTATTTTTATTATTTTCTTATTGGAAAGTCAGATATACAGAGAGGAGAGACAGAGAGGAAGATCTTCCGTCCAATGATTCACTTCCCAAGTGAGCACAACGGCCAATGCTATGCCGATCCCCAAAGCCAGGAGCCTCTTCTGGGTCTCCCACGCGGGTGCAGGGTCCCAAGGCTTTGGGCCGTCCTCGACTGCTTTCCCGGGCCACAGGCAGGGAGCTGGATGGGAAGTGGGGCTGCGGGGATAGAACCGGCGCCCATATGGGATTCCAGGCGTGCAAGGCGAGGACCTTAACCACTGTGCCACCGTGCCGGGCCCCAGGAGTCTTTTTTAAAGACTCGAAAAGGCACAGGTAGGGCCCAGGGCCCAGCATCATGGCCTAGTGGCTAAAGTTCTCGCCTTGAATGCGCCGGGATCCCATATGGCAACCGGTTCTAATCCCGGCAGCTCCACTTCACATCCAGCTCCCTGCTTACAACCTGGGAAAGCAGTTGAGGGCAGCCCAAAGCCTTGGGACCCTGCACCCACGTGGGAGACTTAGAAGAAGTTTCCTGGATCCTGGTTTCAGATCAGCATAGCACCAGCCGTTGTGGTCACTTGGGGAGTGAATCATCAGACGGAAGATCTTCCTCTCTGTCTCTCCTCCTCTCTGCATATCTGCCTTTCCAACAAAAATAAAATAAATCTTTAAAAAAAAAAAAGGCACAGGTAGAAATTGATCCATCTTCCATCCACTGGTTCACCAACCCTAACAGGCCATAACAGCTGCTGCTGAGCCAACCTCAAGCCACATGCCAAAGACTCCATCAAGGTCTGCAATGTGGATGATGGAGCCCAAGCATTCAGGTTATCTACCACTGCCTCTCCAGGCACGTGAGCAGGAAGCTGGGTCGGCAGCAGTGCAGCCAGCACTCCAACTAGAACTCTCATAGCAGATGCCGGTGTCAGATGTGCAGGCTTGGTCTACTGTGCCACAATCCCACAGCCTACAGGGTCTGAGATGCCTGAGCTCCCTGAGATGCCTCAGCTGATGCCCGTCTCACTTGCACGCTTTCAGTCTGACTGACTGACTCACTGATGCTCCATAGCAGGGACATATCTGAGCAGATCTCTTCCAAAGTCTTTCAAACGTTTCTGTTCACGGGCTCGAACCAAGTCTGCCACATGGTTTCCATGCTAGACACTTTGTTCCTGTGGCCAAGGCAGTCACTCTGAACAGCAACTGGGACATGACACAGAATTCAGATGTTCCTGGACTTGGGGACACACGGACTGTCAGCCTCTGAGGATGAGCTGGTTTGTTCCTGCAAGCTGTGGCCCTACGTCGACTCTCATCACTCCGTCTGCTGATGCGGGATGAAGACCCAGCCAGCGAGGCAGCACTGAGCCCAGGACCTTGGTGACTTTACTTCCAGTGAGCCTCACCCCCAAGCCCACTCCAGGCCGAGCCACAGCCTGGGCCTTCCTGCACAGGACCCAGCTCCTGCCACACGGATGAGCCTGAGACCGCCCGCGCTGCTTACGGCTTCCGAGGTTCATCACCTCACAGGAAAAGTATTTAAGAAAAACTAACCAAATGAAAAGCTCGGTGTAGCCCAGGGCACTCTCAGGAACTCAGGTCTTCAATCACTGTCGGTGGCTCTTTTTTGCATGAATAAAATTGTTTCTGGCACATGAAATCCTAACAACCACACACCCTTTCTGAATTGCGTCACGTTTCATAGCTGGTCTTCCCATTATTAACAAAAAAAGCAGTAAGTGCTAAGTTAACTGTAACTTAGCCGTTGGCTGATCCCACTTGCCAAGTCTGAGCAGAAAACCATGCCCACCTGCCTTGGAACGGAGCTGGGCAAGCAGAGATGGTGTCCAGGCCTGATGGCGCATGCATGTTGCCACCTCACTGCTCATAAACACGTTACTGGGGGCCCACCATCTCCTTACCCACCAGGCCCGCCAGCGTCACCCTGGTCACTTGCAGGTTCAGAGAGACGTCAGGCCCCCATGAGAAAAGTCCCTGGGGAAACCGATGGAGGCCCACAGACTGAGTGAACGGTGCCTCAGCTGCCTCTCGTGCAGCCCTGGCCACTTCCTGAACACACCTGCTAGCCCTCCACAGGCACCACTGCGGACATTTCACTGCTCTTTCTTAACGGAAATGTCTCATCTTTGAAAAGCATCTAGCAGATGAAGGTATTAGTCAATACTTTAAACAATGGAAAATTCAGGAACGGTCTAAGCATCTAGGGAAGACCAAGGTACCTGAAATGTTTATAAAGAGTTTCAAATACCATGGAAAACTGCCCAACTTATAGACAGTATACACTAAGAAAACTGACAAGTTTTATATGCTATATTCATATTACATAAATGTATTTATTAACTTATAAATGGTTAAGTATCAAAGCATAAAATTTAAAAAATTTATCCATGTAAGAAAAACTTTGAAGAAAACAAACCAAAATATTAACTATGATTGTCTGTGTAAGGCAATTATGAGCTATTTTATTTTATTTAGACAAAATTTCCACATTAAAAAAATACTATGCTTATTATCCAAGAAATACCTTCTAGGAGGGAGCATTGCGGCACAGTGGGTTAAGCCACCACTTGAGACATCTGTGTCCTGCATTGCAAACTCTGGATTTGAGTTCCTCCTCTGCTTCCCATCCAGCTTCCTGTTGAGGCAAACCCTGGGAGGCAGCAGGTTTTGACTCAAGTACTAGCCCAGATGGAGTTTCTGGTTCCAGGTTCTGGTCCAGCCCAGCCCCAGAAACTAACTAGCAGATGGAAAAATCAGTCTTTCCCCATCCTGGCACTCTTCCTTTCAAATAAATTAAAAATACATATGTTTATTTAAAAAGCGATAATCTCTTTTAAAAAAATCATCCCATATACAAGTATCTCTTATTCCTTTTTGCCTTCCCATTTATAGTCTACTTATTTCCCAAAATGATTTGAGTAATGGCTGTTAAGACAAACAAGCAAGATAGGGAAAAAGAAAGAACTCAAAGAGAAAAAGAAACCAAACATGAGGCAGGAAGAGCTGGAGTCACCCACAGCAGAACCTGCACGCGCACAGGCCAAAGCCAGGGATGTCCCACAAGACGCCGGTATGACCTGTGGAATCTTCTGGAAACTACATGGGATATTAGAGCCATTTGACCAAGACCACTAAGAGCATTGCTCCTGTGTGGCTCTTCCCTCACCTAGGCCACCTCCTTTGGGGTGAGAAGTTGGTCTCGTTTCCTCCATCCTTACGATTCCCACAGAGGCCCCCATATGACCCAATACCTCACCAAAGGTCCCTGGTCCTGAGTCAGCTCCCAGGGAGGCTGCATCCGCTGGTTCCTGCCTCACCAGCTGAGACCCAGGTCTCTCTCCCACACCCCAGACTCGGCAATGCAGGCACGCAGGTGAGATACTGAGGGCTAACTGAGGCATGGTGTGAGTCTGGCTGGGCAGGGTTGACGCATACACAATCTGTCGTGTCCTCCTACAGTGGCTAATGCCAGACTCGCTGACGTGCATACAAAAGGTTCATATTCAGTCTGATAAAAGCTGTGGTCCTATTTCCACAGATATCTCCCTTTGCATACCTCTGATATCTTTGAAACGTCTCTTGGGGGCACAGCCCTTAGGC